TCTTATACACATCTAGATGTGTATAAGAGACAGGTTTGGGGTTGTTGGGGGGGGGCTATTGGGGTATTGGGGGCGGGTATGGGGGTGTTGGTGGGGTTCTTGGGGGTTCTGGACCCTTCTTTCTTTCTTTTTTCTTTTTGTGGGGTGCCTACGACCCCCGACCGGTAGGCGCCGATCAGCTGACCGGTTGGCTGGTCGGCAGCCGACCAGTCAAGGGTTGCCGACCGTCGGGGTATGCAATGATAATAAAAAGTGGAGCTTTCTCAAAAAAAAAAAAAAAAACCAAAGAAATCTTCTATGGAAAAAGGATTCCACTGATGCAAACTTCGTAACCACTGGTAGGAGGTGGCGATGAATCTGTTGTAGGTATTTCCGTTTTCCTCTTTCATGCAATTTCCCTTTTTTTCCTGTGAAATCTTTGAAGTGTTCACAGCGTGTTATTTTTTAAGTGGGTAGCCCGCCAGGATTTGAACTTATTTTCTGTCTACTAACAATTACGTTTGTATACTGTTCAGCCACATGGGTGCTGCCTATGGAAGCGTTCATACCTGTTGTTTGGGAAAATAATGTGGAGAGGGCATAGTAAACAGGAATCACGTTCGCGGTGAGGGGAGGGAACCTTCAACGGCCTTACGCAAACATAATCTGGGTTGTGGCCGTTTGTATCGGCACTTGACTGACACCAAATTGTGTTGCGGATTTGTGACCTAGTTTGATTCGGAGAGCATGCTCACGCTACCGTCTTCACCCCAATAGAACGCTCGGTCATTATTGCTGCATCTGGACTGAAAGTTGTGCCAAATGCAGCTATAATGACCAGGCATTCTATTCGGGTGAAGATGGTAGGACTTTCTTGACTGAGCTCTGGACTTAGTTGCGGTCAGATACATCTACACCTCGCTGTAATTGTGGACGGATACGGCCAGGAATGTCCTAGTCTGAGTTTAACCTCCCTCGTGAAAAGGCACCCGATGCGGCGGGATGGGTGTATTAGCAACCATCAATGGTACAGTTCTATGGGGTGCTCCCAGTACCTTCTTCCCCCAAATGCAACGTACGGTCATTGTAGCTGTATTTGGACTGAAATGTACCCCAAGTACAGCTATAACGACCGTACGTTGTATTCGGTGGAAGAAGGTAGATCGTTTTTTTTTCAATCGAATTTGGCTGTACAGTCAGGTACAGTCGGGACACTTATCCCAGTGCGAGTCCGTCCTTAGTTCTTCAAGGCCTAGAAGGCGAGAACAGAATACACATTGGAGAGCACTCACCTGGTTCGGGTGCATCATATGTGTGTGTTTTTTTGTTGTGTGTGGTAATGTTGGCGTTTTTCAAGAGTGGAAAGACAGGGTCTAAAACTACCGAGGAGAGACTGTCCGGCGGAGAGGTCCCAGACGGATCCCCTGCCAAGGAAGATGACTCGGATGCGAAAGATGGAGAAAAGAAGCCCAGGCAAGTTGAGGGGCATGAAGTAGAGAAGCATGCACAGACGAGCACAGGAGTCAGTGCCAGCCCTTCCCTGGCGGTTCTTGGGTACCTGAATCTCTTCTCTGATGGTGTGGTAAGAGTTGTGCAGAACCATAACAAACCCTCCGTCATCTCCCAACCATGTCCTCCCAGAATGATATGTATTACTGTCTTCGCCTGAATACAACGTACGGGCATTATAGCCGTATTTTTTTTTCAGTTTAATTACAGCAATAATGGCCGGACGTCGTATTTGGGTGAAGACGGTAGTGTATCGTAGTCCTGTCCAAGGGTTGAGCGAGTTAGAGTGACTTGAACCAAAAGCAAGAAGATTTAGTCCTATTGTAAATAAGCTTCTCTAAAGTCACTGTATGCTTTTTTTTGTAAGACTTGTAAAGTTATTAACCAAATTCGTGGTCGCTCGTGCAAAAAAGCGCTTATGCTTTTAGAATTTATGCCATACCGAGCATGTATGAAGTTCTATAAACCTATTACACAATTAATATCTTCTCCTGCATCTAGAAAAGAATTGGGCTGTTTTTATCGAACAAAATTCCCTTCATATGTGGTTCAATTTGCATGCTCACTAAATGTTTCCTTTACAGGAATGTAGTCCACACTCGTCCTCATATTCAATTAAATAACGACCCTCTCTCTCTCTCTCTCTCTCTCTCTCTCTCTCTCTCTCTCTCTCTCTCTCTCTCTCTTTCTTCCCCCCCTCTCCTTGGCCGCTCTCTCTTGTCTTCCCTCGCATGGGTGTTACGCGTTTCTAAAATATTTTAGTTACACGTTTCTTTGGAACATCTGTTAAAGAAATTGGAGCAAGACAAAGTAGGTTATCATAGTCCTGCCCAAGGATGTGCACAAATAAGAAAGGGTTAAAAAAAAGCTGGTGACATTCACCGTCACATGTGGAGATCCCATCATTTTTGTTTTCCCAAATTGGCCTTTCGTTTGGTTATGAGGCCAGGTAGAAGTACTAACCATATGGTCCTCAGAACTTGGAAAGAGACGACGTTGTCCCATCCATGATATCCTTTGCAGCATATGCAACACACGAAACGCCTTTGTGATTCTTTGAAAAGTTTTTTGGTTGTGCAGCTATCAGCAGTTGTATATCGAAGCATGGATGTGTGTGCGTCTTTATGTGTGTGTGTGGCGGGTGGGTGGGTGCATGTGTGGATGCGTACCTCTGTGTGTGTGTGTGTGTGTGTGTGTGTGCGTGTGTGTGTGTGTGTGTGTGTGTGTGTGTGTGTGTGTGTGTGTGTGTGTTGTCATGTTTGCTGTACACAACTCCACAAAAAAAAGGCACAACTGTTACCTGACATCAGAAGTGTTCTCAACTTGCGGTCCTGGGGAATGCACAGGCGCTTCTCACCTCTGCTGCATGTGTACAGCAGATCTGAGACCAGAGTATATCCTGGTTCAGAGGCAGGATCGTCCTGGAGATTCCTCACAATAGGCCCAAAGATCTCATCCTGAGGCAGGATGATGGGAATGGTCTGCAGCCTATCGAGTATATGAGCAAGAATTCTCCCTATCGAGTATATGAGCAAGTATATCGAGTATTGTTCCGCTGTGTTTATCTCTCCCTGTGCGGTGTGATACTCCTATCCTCTCCCCTTCCTTCCGTGTATGTATGGGCATACCTGGAAGTCTATGTGAGTGAGTGTTGGTCATCAGACAACAAACAACCAGAATCATAACACAACTGTGCCAGACCGTTTCGTTGGTCTTTCACTGACTGATCAGGGGTTGTTTGTTTGTGTGTGTGTGTGTGTGTGTGTGTGTGTGTGTGTGTTTCGAGTGCATGCAGCGCATGGGGACGGGGTCTGGACCTCTGAAATCTTGTAAAGTTGGTACTTCTGCAGTGGGGGTGATAACAAGAACATGTATGGTGTAGCTTTGCCGGGTGTTGATGGTGTCATGAGTTTTCCTCTTTAACCTGCAGACCGTGCACCAATGCAAAGATGAGGGAAGAGGAAACAGTATTCGGTACAAGTGCGATGCACACATTTTCGACTCTGTTCTTCCTTCATTGTCCTTCGCCAGACTTTCTGCTGTTGCTTAGCTTCTGGCTCGGGTTGTATGTGTTTGTCATCAAATGCAGCATAACTTTACGGATGGAATGGCTCTGGCATCAGCTTTCATGCATCATGGATCCGTCGGTGGTTGGAGCCGCACACTTTTTATACTTGCGCATGAGCTTCCACAGGAGGTAAGCGTGCTCCTCTACCCAAAGAGAGGTCTCGGTTTCCACAGAAAAATGGATGCTGCTTTAATGACGCTCTCTGCAATGTGATGTGCCATGCTGGAGTTTGTGGAGACAATATTCATCACGATTCACGTCGGGGGAAAAAAATAAAAAGAAAAAAGCTCTACGACTGTCTGCTAGCTGGTGCATGACCTTTCTGTCTGTCAGCTAAGATATGGTGTTAAGAAAAAAAAGTTCAAAAAAGGCAGCACTGAAAATTTGTGAAAACAGCGGATGGAACTCCATGACAGAAAAAAGAGTGTCCCTATCATGCAGTTGATTGCCTTGAGGGGAGGGGTGTAGTCTGCAAACAGCAAAGTGCAAATGCTAACCTGATGTTTCCCGCTGCAACTGGTCAGGATCCAGGTTGAGATTCATGATCCCCTGCAAGTAAAGTAACATAACTTATAGCAGCCATCATGTGTCAATAGGTTAGGTTAGCTGCCCACCATCGGTAGTTGGCCCCTTTCTTTTCTTTCCTCCGTCCTGAAAAGGAACAACATTGTCGCATTCATCTGATTCCCGCAGGACTCTAACCCGTGAGTCGAGCCCATGACTTGAACCCATGACTCGAAGATAACTTCGCTTTGGTTCTTATTGATAACTTCGAACTCTACGCCACTGTCTATTCTCTACTCTCGACTCTATGCTACTCTCTACTCTCTCCTCTCCTCTGCTCTCCGCGGTGCTCCCTACTCTCTGCACTCTATTCTGTTCTCTACGCTACTCACTGCTCTCTACTGTGTTCTCTGCTCGACTCTCCATGCTCTACTCACTATTCTACTCTACACTACTCTACACTACTCTGCACTACTCTACTGTACTCTACTGTACTCTATTGTACTCACTCTACTCTACTCTCTAGACTACTTTATACTTTCTTCTCCACCCCATGCTACTCTCTACTCTCTACTGAACTCTACGCTAAACTCGTTTTACTCCACACTACTCTGTACTCCCTACACTACGGTACTCTCTACTGTGCCGCTCTCTCTACTCTACTCTACCTATTATCTACTCTACTCTATGCTACTCATCTCGCCGTACTCCTCATCACTCGACACTAAACTCTTCTCGGCTTTACTCTCTACTTGCTACTTTACACTGCTCTCCACTCTCTTCTCTACTGTCTCCTCTCTACTCAACTGTACACTCTATCTGCACTCGATACTCTCGCTACTGTAATCCACTCTACTCTCTACTCTCTATTCCGTACTACTCTACTCTCTACTCTATTCCACTCTGGAATCAGACTCGCTTTCACTTCCACTTCGCATACATGCTAACAGATGGTGATTCACACTGGCGCACAACGCCCACACCAAGCTCAGAGATATGGCAACTGAGAACACAGTTCAGATGTAAACTCGCTTCAACAGACTATGGCGCATCAGCACCTGTACATCACAACTCTCGTCACTGTGTTCAACTCCACTGTTCGCACACGCTCACTCTGGATCACCCTGAATACCACCACGCACGCACGCTAAGTCTAACCTCCTCCTACAGCGGCTATGGCCGCACTACCACTACTGACTATGGCTACGATCTCCCTTCAGCCCGCTTCGTCCTCGGGCAACCTGCAGACCACCTTCGCACAAGACGCTGTAGCAGCGCTTCTGCATGGCTTACACAGCAAAGGAATGAATGGCTGGGCGCTGCCTCTTGATTTGTACTTCTGTAACTCGTTGGTCTGCCCCTTTCCCAGGCCCTTGGTGCACACAGTCCCACATGGTACTTGCTTGACTGGACTCTGATTGACTGGGACCGGTACCGCTGACTGCATGGGTTTGCACTGCCAACTCGATGCAGTCGCACTGCCGACGTAACGCAGTTGGGCTCACCACTTGCCCACTTGCCTCTGGCTAAACGTGAGGCTACTTCGAAAGGCCACTTCCGGACCTTCCGGAAGTCTGTGGACTTGGCCTTTCGAATACTGTAGCAGCTATGGCCTTGACCTTTCAGGACTGTAGCAGCTACGACCTTGACCTTTCAGGACACCTACAGCTAAGACCTCGACAGAGCGATGACCCCTATTCGACAGACCTACAAATCGAACCCCTACAACTATACAGTCCAACGACAGGCGACAACCACTACCAAAACACAGGTTACGGGTTCAAACACTCGGGGGTCGACTCGATACTGTACATGGGCAAAGCGAGGTCTGGGGATCGAATCCTGGTGCCCGCATCTGTGCCTACAGAAAGTGAAAACCGTTTCACACTCTATTCTATATTCTATATTCCACTCTACTCTACGCTCTACTCTTCTCTACGCGCTACCCTGTACTCTTTCTACTCTTTACTGTACTATACTCTCTAGTCTACTGTACTGTCTACTCTACTCTACTCTACGCCACTGTAGTCTACTCGGGCTATGTCTTCATTCAGGCGTACAGGGGGATAATTCTTCGTCTCGAAGACCTAAAGGCTGAAACGCAACTGTTTCTCATCTCTTTTCGTTTTCAAACAATGGATCATAGTTGTTTTTTTTTACCTGCCAACCCCCCATTTTTCGGTTCCAGTGTTCACATCCTATTGGAGGTTTCATACGCATGAACGTCAATTTCATCAATATCCCTTTGTAACGTGGGCGGAGCCATGCTGGCTACTCGTCTTTTTTAAATATGTTAATAGCATGGTTGCATACCTGCCTACCGCCGACCCTGACCGCCAACCGTTTTGCGGAGGACCAGTAGGGCCGTCTGGCGACCGGTCGGAAAACAGCCATCCACTAATTTTTTTTCAGATCTGAGTTGGAAGCTGTACTGCGCTTGCTGAGTACAGCCCAAATCCGCTGAGAAACTTTTGGGGATGGCGGGGTTGGGGGGGG